CTTCAGGTGTCTGTACACCACATTGAGTGCACGCTGTTGTCTGTACACTCCGCTCGCCTAGAAACACAGTAGCACCAGCAGCGCCAGCAGCAGCAGCAGCAGCAGCAGCAGCAGCAGCAGATGTAGCAGATGTGGGGCGGTGCTGCGCTCAGTTTTGCTGAGTCTCAAGGAGAGTGAGCAGCTGCCGGAGGACCCTCAGCAGGTGTTCATTGATTACTTTGGGGAGTACAGGTTAGACGCAGCAGCAGTTGTTGCTGCTGCTGCTGGTCTTGAATCTGCTGCTGCTGCTGCTGCTGAATCTGCGGTGAAGTAGCAAACCCTGGTGAAGCGTATAATTTTAGCGCTACAGCTGCTGCTGCACCTGTGTTGCTGCAGCGACAAGCCAGCAGCTTCTCAAGCAGCAAAAGCAGCATCTGCTGCTTCATTGCGTGCTGCTGTTTAACACGTGCTGCTGCTGCTGCTGCTGCTGCTGCTGCTTGCTGCATATACAGAGACCCCATATTGGATGTAATTGAAGAGTTGAACAGCAAAAAGGAGACACTTAAAGCTGAGAAGGCACAAATGGAGCAAGCCGTCATAGAGCTGGGTCAGCAACGGCAGCAGCAGCAGCAGCAGCAGCAGCAGCATAAAGAACAGCAGCAACAGCATCAATAAACGCGAAAGCGCCAGCAGAGCCACCAAAAGCTGAAACAACGGCGCTGATAGTAACAGCCAAACAAAAGCAGCAGCAGCAGCAGCAGCCACAGTAGCAGCAGCAGCAGCAGCAGCAGCAGCAGCGAACTCTGCTGTTGTGCGTGCTGTTCAGAGACAGCTAAGGAGACCCTCCAAGAACAAAACAGCCAAAAGAAGTTGTGGAAAGCAATTTGCAAACAAGGGGTAAAGCGCTGCGGGGCTGCGGTGTATATACACCTGAAGGCCGTGCATGCATGCATGCATGCAAGCGCATGCATGCATGCATGCATGCATGCATGCATGCATGTGCGACTTTGCGCAAGTCTTCAAAATGAAATGCAAATGGACTTTGGGGCTTTGCATGCAAAGACATGAAAGCGAAAAAGAAACTGGGTAGTTCCACTGCGGTGTATGTACACTGGGCTGCTGCGCACTGTAAGAAGCAATTAAATATTCTTATAAGAGATGAATTAAATGTGTTTTTTTTGTGTTTATTTTTATTCGTTTGTTTAATTAATTGTTATATATTATTTGTGGATATAAGGAAGAACAAATGTTCGGTTTATTATTTATTCATTTATTTATTTCTGCATGTATAACTGTTCCTGTATGGGCCATTTGGCCATCCCAAATACAAATGCAGATATAAATGAAAAAATAAATTTAAAAATAAATATAAATACAAATTTAAATATAAATAAAATATAAAAATGAACGTGGACAAATCATGCAAACAAAACTGTGGGGCAGCGCTGCGGTGTACATACACCTGAAGGAAGGGAAGTGCATTCAGTTTTCGGGTGTACGTCCAGCTGCATGCAAGGCCATAGCCATATGTGGAAATGTAATTCCATTACATTTATATTTCTGCTTATTTTCAAAGAAAATATACCAAAAAATGCCGAAATAATGTACTAATACATTTGCAATGATTAAAAAATATATATTGATGTATAAAAGTCTTGAAAGTGTGCATTTATGAAATTGCAGGCAAATTTAAAAACTTAAAAATTAAATAAATAATAATTTCGGAATAAATGCAAAAGCGGTTTGCCCTGTGGCAGCTAAGTGCCAATATGCCTGCATGTCCTTTTGCATGCACGGAACGAATAAAAAAGAAATAAAAAAAAATAGAAAGAAATTAAAAGGAAATAAAAAAGAAATAAAAAAATTAAAAGGAAAAGAAAACAACAGACAAAGAGAGATATCTGGGGTGTGCGTACACTTGAGGGAAAGAGAGCTCGCAGGCAACTCGAAAAAAAGCTTGAATTGAATTTCTCTTTGCGGCTTTTTCGTTTATTTAATGCAAATAATAGTTTTTATTTTATAGTAAATTAATTAATTCATTTACTTAATTTAGTTTAATTATTTAAATATTAAATTGTTTATTCATTTGTTTGTTTGCCCGTTGGCCGGAGTCTTCGTTTGCAGCCACTTGGCAGCAAAATTCAAAAGGCGTCTGAACTATCGAATCGTTCGTTGAATTATGATTTATTTAACTAAAATTGCATAATTACAATTAAATTAGAATTAAAGTATAATTAAATTGTAATTATAATTGTTTTAAATGTACTTGTTTGTTTTTAATTCCTTTAGACTTCCATTAGCAGCCTCGCACTTTACCAGAAACTCGCCGACAGAAAACGCCCCAGAGGGCCCCTCAAGAGTTTAGCTTTGACCTACGACTTGTTTTTGCGTCTGCTGGCTTCTTTGCCCCAAGTAACAAACCCTAAACCCTAAACCCTAAACCCTAAACCGTAGTTCTAGCCCCTGCAGCAGCGGCACATTCTTCGGGTTAGAAGAAACAGGAAAAGAAAGGGATTTCTGCGGCGTCTGAGCTGTACATACACTACAAATGCGTCTCGAGGCTAGGGTTTAGGGTTTAGGGTTTAGGGTTTTGAAGGCCCACAGAAGAAGCTCGTGGCTAGTGAATGATGGCTCACACCTGCTGCTGCTGCTGCGTGTGCGTTGGCTGCTGCTGCTGCTCTTCTTCTCACTGCTGCTGCTTTTGCTGCGGCTCGCGATGCTACTGTTGCTGCTACTCTTGCTGCTGCTGTCGGTGCTGCTACTTCTGTTGCTGCTGTTTCTGCTCTCTGCTGCTGCTGCTGCTGCTGCTGCTTCTGCTGCTGCAGGGAATGTCAAGTCAGATTCTGCAGCTGCTGTGCCCCACTGGGGAGCCTTCAGAGTGTCTCCCTTCAGCGAATTTGAAAGATGATGGAGAAAACCAAATACTAAATGCTGTAAGCTGCTGCTCTCTACAGCAGCAGCAGCAGCAGCAGGACGGGCTGCAGCAAAAGAGCCTGCAAATGGACTTCTGCTGTGCTGTGTTTGTTTCTTTGTTAAGGTAACTTCTGCAATAAATCAATTTCAAGTCAAAGAGGCTTGAGACACTTGGTGGCCCCAACAGCTGAGGTGTACGTACACCTCTGAGGTGTACGTACACCTCAGCGCATGCAGCGAGCCACGCAAACTGTTTTCTGCGTTTCATTTCTTTTCCTCTTTGTCAATGGACTAAATTCAAAAAAGATTAACAGCAGCAAAGGCTGAACTCAAGCATTTGAGACGCCCTTCGCTGCTGCCCTTGCTGCTGCTGCTGCTGCTGCGCTGCTCCTAGTGCTGCTGCTGCTGCTGAGCGAGGCAGCTTGTCTGCTGCAGTCACTGTGAGCGGGCACAGCAGCAGAGAGCCCCACACTCCTCAGCGCATGCAACGGCGCAGCAGCAGCAGCAAGCAGCCCCCGGGCAGTCTTATACGACAAACTGTAGCTGCTGCTACTGCTGCTGCTGCTACTGCTGCTGCTGCTGCTGCTCTATGCCGTGGTAACCAGCCGCAGTGCGTCCTGCAGCGCCGTTGTGTAGTGGTTTACTGCTTGCACAATATCGTCGTCTGCGCCTTCACGAGCCTGAGACGCAGCAGCAGCAGCAACAGCAGCAGCAACAGCAGCAGTAGCAGCAGCAGTAGCAGCAGCAGCACATAGGTGCCAGTGCTCTTGCACAAGAAGCAGCAGCAGCTCCAGCAAGGGCGGTAACAGCAAACGTACCAGAATAAGCACCAGAAAGAAAAGCAGCAGCAGAAGCAGCAGCAGTAGCGCTAGTCTCAGTATTAAAGCGGCTTGCAGCAGCAGCAGCAAGAGATCGCCGGCAGCAGCAGCAACAGCACTAGCTGCAGCGGCAGCAGCAACGGCAGTGCTGCTGCTGCATTAGCAGCAGCACTACTAACAGCAGCCGCAGCCGCCGCAGTCCTGCTGCACCAGTAGCGCCAGCTCTGCAAATAGCAGCAGCAGCAGCAGCAGCAGCAGCAGCAGCAGCAGCAGCAGCAGCAGGTTTACCTGGGACTCCAAGATGAGTCCATTCTTGAGGGCCGCCACCTCCTCCAAAATAAAAGTTTGAAACTTTTCTTCTCCTCTTTCTCGAATCCTTTTTGCTTCCTCGAGTTCTTCTCTTAGCTGTTCTATTTTCTGCTCGCGGGCGTTCTGCAGCGCAGCAGCAGCAGCAGCAGCAGCAGTGCAACAGCAGCAAACAACTGCCTACACAGAGGACACTTCTGCGAGTTGCAGCGCACTTGGCAAACGCGCCTGAGCTACGCAGCAGCCAGCTAGCTAGCTAGCTAGCTCGCTCGCTAGCTAGCTAGCTAGCTGCGAAGCAGCCAGCTGGCCAGAAAACTGCACACAGCTGTAGGTGCTGCTAATGCGCTGCTGCTGCTGCTGCTGCTGCTGCTGCTGGCGAAAGCCAGCAGGCATCATCTACCCGTCTGCCGTTGGCTAGCTGGTTCGCTAGCTCGCTAGCTAGCCAAATGGATAGCAAATAAGTGAATGCCCTAGAGGCATTTAGCTAGCTAGCTGTTTAGCTAGCTAGCTAGCTACCTATTTGGCTAGCTAGCTAGCTAGCTAAACTCTGTAGCTAGCTAGCTAGCCAGCTAAACTCTGTAGCTAGCTAGCTAGCTAGCTAGCAACTACCTAGCTAGCTAGCTCTCTAGCTAAATTCAGTAGCTAGCTGGCTAGTTAGCTAGCTAGGTTCGCTAGCTAGCTAGCTGGCTAGGTAGCTAGCTAGCTAGCTGGCTAGTTAGCTAGCTAGCTAGCTAGCTGCTGCTTCAAAGCCTTACTTTCTCCGCCTCGAATTTGCCCTCAGTTCTGTACTCCAAGTCGCCGAGCCTTTTGGCTAGCTGCAGCTCGCGTTCCTGTCTGCTGCTCTTGTCCGTCTCGAACGCGTGCTGCAGCAGCAGCAGCAGCAGCAGCAGCAAAACGTACACAGCCAAAAACGCAGACACAGGAGGCAGATGCACGCGCAGGAAGCAGCTGCTGCAGCAACAGCAAGCAGCAGCAGCAGTAGCGGCAGCTGCCCCGCCTCTGCAGCAGCCCCACGTCTCCACGGCAGCAGCAGCAGTAGCAGCAACAGCAGCAGCAACACAACCGCCACCACCAACAGCAGCAGCAGCACCACCGCCCTAGCGGCAGCAGCACCACCACCACCATAACCACGACCACCCCTGCAGCAGCAGCAGCAGCAGCAGCAGCAGCAGGAGGCACCTGCAGCGCAGCAAGGTCTGCGTTGATCTGGGAGTGTTTGTCTTCGGAGTCTCTGTTTTGTTTGTCTCTTTCAATTATAAATTCTTTTTCAACTAAAGAGATTCTTTCGTTGAGAGCATCCACTCCGCACTGCAGCTGCTCGAACTTGTCCACAAACACCTGCGACAGCTTCTCCTGCACCTGCAGCAGCTGGCTCTCGAACATCTGCAGCAGCAGCAGCAGCAGCAGCAGCAGCAGCAGCGCTCAGACCGGCTGGCGACGGCTCCGGGCTGGTGTCTTTCTACACTAAAAGAACACCACAGCAGCAGCAGCACCACCACCGCAGCAGCAGCAGCAGCAGAACAGCAGCAGCAGAACAGCAGCAGCAGCAGCACAACAGCAGCAGCAGCAGCACAGCAGCAGCAGCAGCAGCACAACAGCAGCAGCAGCAGCACAACAGCAGCAGCAGCAGCAGCAGCAGCAGCAGAACAGCAGCAGCAGC